GTTCTCCCATTCTTGCCTATTCTGTAATATTCTTTGGACTCGGGCAGACATGGCTGTGGCAGCATGCTTGTCCTTTCTCCCATTCTTGCCTATTCGGTAATATTCTTTGGACTCGGGCAGACATTCTGGCTCTGGCAACACGTTTGTCTGCTTCCCGCTTCTGCCCCTTTTGAATATATGCCGAATAAAACTTTCTTTTTGCTTTAAAAAAAAAAACTAATATACTTTGCTGTGTGCCAATATGTAGCAAAAAAAAAATTAACCTTACCAAGAAAGGTATGGCCTTTACACTTGGCTACGGGGAGATGATCTCCAGGCCCCTGAAATATTCTGCCTAATAGGAATGTCTTTATCTGCCTGGGGACTTTGGCCACCCAACAGTCTAACAATGTGATTTATGTTGGGGGCTTTGGGCCAGACCATATCAGTTCTGACCTCTGCAGGAATTGAAGACTAAAGGTATCAGCCTGACCTCCGGAAGGGGCTGGAAACTAAAGGTCATCCACCTAAGCAATATATGATGAAGCCCTAATAATAAAAACCCTGGACACCAAAGGCTCGGTGAGCTTCCCTGGTTGGCAATTCTGCGTATTGTCACACATCCATCCATGACTTCATTAGGAGAGGGAGACCAGGAGCTCTGTGTATGGACCCCTCCTGGACTCTGCCCTAAAGTGTCTCTTCCCCTAGCTGATCTCAATTCATATCCTTTCTCATAATAAAACCAAAGCCATGAGAATAACAGCTTTCAGTGAATTCTGAGTTCTACCAGAGAATTATCAAACCTGAGGATACTTCAGGGAACCTGTCAAACTTGCAACTGTTGTCAGAGGCGAGGGTAGTCTTGTGGAGACTGTTCCCTCAGATTTTGCAGTTTGGTTAACTCCAGGTAGCTTTGACCTCATGGAGCTTACATTTGCTGGGGGTGAAGGGGAGAAGCAGACAGTAAACAACAGATATACTAAACAAATACTGAGGATTTAGAAGGTAATAGTGCTGTGGGAATTAAAAACAGAAAAAAAAAAACAGGGTAAGGGGGTATTGGAGTGCATAAGAATAGATGTACACGGATATTGTCATGGATTGAACTGTGCCCCCCAGAAATGTCTGTCGGCTTGACTGGATCATGATTCCCAGTATTGTATGATTGTGTAATCTGATGTGATTTCCTTATGTGTTGTAAACTCTATCACTATGATGAGGTCATACTGGTGAGGTCTACAAGACTGGACAGTGTCTTAATCCAATTTCTTTTGAGATATAAAAGAGGGAAGCAAGCAGAGACACATGGGAACCTCATACCACCAAGCAAGCAGTGCCAGGAGAGAGAGTGTCCTTTGGACCTGAGGTTCCTGTGCAGAGAAGCTCCCAGACCAAGGGAAGACTGATGACATGGACCTTCCTGCAGAGCTGACACAGAAAGCGTTCCCCTGGAGCTGACACCCTGAATTTGGATTTGTAACCTACCGGACTGTGAGAGAATAAACTTCTTTTTGTTAAAGCCATCCACTCTTGGTATTTCTCTTAGAGCAGCACTAGATGACTAAGACATACATTATTGTAGCACATTCCTATTTTCAATCCCCCTGGAGCCCTGGTGGCTCTGTGGTTAAGCACTTGGCTGCTAACAAAAAGGTCGGCAGTTCAAACCCACCATCCGCTGTGGGAGAAAGATGTGGCAATCTGTTTCCATAAAGATTATGGCCTTGGAAACCCTACAGGGCAGTTCTACTCGACAGCAATGGGTACAGAAGAGTTAACAAAGCAGGTCTTTAGAAGGGCCTACTTGGAAGGTTGGCCCTGGGTGGCATCTGGGAACTCAGCACATGACCTGTTCCCTAACTGATAAGGGGAGATCACTGCACGTAGTCTGTTTACACAACGCAGTTTACGATACACATTTGCTTTCCTTCTGGGAGCCTGAAATTTTGGTACGTGCTAGGCAGAGGGTGATTTTGTGACCAGCCCCCAGTAAAAACTTTGGGTGCTAAGTCTCTAACGGGCTTCCCTGGGCAGAAACACTGCATGTGTGTTACTGCATTTTTTACTTCTGGGGAAAGCAGCAGCCTTGATGTGCTCCTTCAGAGAAGAAAAAGAACACAGGAAAAGAAAATATGGATTTCTCTAGTACATTCTGCCTGTGCATTTTTCTTTGTTGATCTTATCACTTTGCTGTAATAAACTTTAGCCATAAATACAACTATATGACGAGTCCCATGAGTTCTTCTAGTCGATCACTAAACATATGGGTGGGCTCAGGATCCCCAAATCACCCCAGACTGAAAGAATTAACTGTAGCACACAACATTATCATGGTGCCATGAAAATGGATGCATTCAACTTAGACCAACTGCCTTGGAAGGAATTTCCACAGTGTACTGTTAAGTGAGTAAAGGAAGTTTCCGGTTTTGTTAAAGAAATGACAAAATAAACCTGTTTACATAATGTATGAAAAGAGTAACCACATTAGGCTGTTAAACACTGGAGTTAGGGGAGCGAGGGCAATGCTTTCAAAGAGAAGAGGGAGACAGGAAGAAGGGAGGGAAAGTAACAAGAAAAAAAGGCCGAAGAAAGGGGAAAATTTTTATATATATAATAAGCAAAGCAGTAAATCAATAGATGGATATAAAAGGAGGGTCACCAGAATGTCAAGGTTCTTTCTGAACAGTACATTTCAGATCTCCTTTATTTTCTTTCACACCTATTCTCTATTGTTTGATTTTTTTTTTTTTTTTCCCTCCTGAGCACATATTATGCAAACAGGAGGAAATGACAGTAAAGCTATTTTCAAAGGGTGGGAAAAAGATCTCGTCTATTTTCTTTCAAAATCTTTTGCTGGTATGTCTGGGTATAAAATTAGCTGTTCATTTATACCATCCCACCCCTTTCCTTCTTCGGTGATGGGGCAGCTTAAAATCAGCACTTAACTGTCTAACACAAAAGAGGAAAGAAAGAAAAAAAAAAAAAAGACAGGAGAAAAAGGCATGAATATTCACAAAATAGAGCTAGTCAATTTCTAAATAACTGAGACTTGCCCATAGTTTGACAAAGCAAATTTAAATGTGGATTTTTAACTCTAAAGCCAGGACATAAGTTTTCATTTTGCCCTATCATTACAAGGTGAGCTGGCTTCTGACTACAGAAATTGTTCTATCCTTCTGGACACTAGATAGGGGAGACTCTTATTACAAGTGCAATAATCCATGTCCCTGCCTTGTTTAACCATATGAATAACATAATATTTTCAGAAAATGTAAAGCTGAAAAGGACCTCAAGTTAACTGGTTCAATTCCCTCGCATTTATCTGAAAAAGGAAACTAAGGCCCAGGGAGGTGAGAAGAGGCAGCATGTCAAAAACCACAAAGCAAGTTAGTAGCAGAGTTGGGACAAGAACCCCCTTCTCCTAAGGACAAATACTGTATAAGACCACTATTATAAGAACTCAAGAAAAGGTTTAAACACAGAAGAAAACCTTCTTGGATGGTTACGTGGGTGGGGAGGGAAGGTGAGGGTTATTTACTAACTAGATAGTAGATAAGAATTATCTTAGGTGAAGGGAAGGACAGCACACACTACAGTGGAAATCAGCACAACTGGACTAAACCAAAGCTAAGAAGTTTCCTGAATACAATCAAACACTTTGAGAGACAGAGTAGCAGCAGGGGTAGGGATCTGGGGACCATGCTTTCAGGAGACATCTAGGTCAACTGGCATAACAAAGCTTATTAGGAAAATGTTCTGCATCCTACTTTGGTGAGTTGCATCTGGGGTCTTAAAAGCTTGCAAGGGGCCATCTAAGATGCATCAATTGTTCCCAACCACCTGGAGTAAAGGAGAATGAAGAACACCAAAGACACAAGAAAAGTAGTAGCCCAAGAAATAGAAAGGGCCACATAAACCAGAGACTTCATCAGCCTAAGAGCAGAAGAACTAGATGGTGCCCGGCTACCAAGAATGACTGCCCTGACAGGGAACATAACAGAGTCCTGGATGGAGTAGGAGAAAGGTGGGGTGCAGAACTAAAATTCTAGTAAGAAGACCAGACTTTATGGTCTGACTGAGACTGGAGGAACTCTAGAAAGCATGGCCCCAGGATTCTCTATCAGCCCAGAACTAAAACAACTTCCGAGGCCAACTCTTCAGACAGGGATTGGACTAGACTGTGGGACATAAAGTGATACTTATGAGGACTGTGCCTCTTAGCTCAAGTAGATACAAGAGACTAAACGGGCAGCTTCTGTCCGGAGGTGAGATGGGAAGGCAGAGAGGGTTAGGAGCTGGTTGAATGGACAAGGGGAATCAGGGGTGGAAAGGAGGACTGTGCTGTCACAGTATGGGGAGAGCAATTAGGGTCACAGAACAATGTATGTAGAAATTTTTGTATGGGAAAAATTAAAAAAAAACTAAAACAACGTCCGAGGAAACAATAAAAAAATTAAAAAAAAAAAACCCTTCTCCTGACTCCAGACCCAATGCTTCTTCCAATAGCCCTGACACTGCTCCCCAGTGAACCACCCTTTACTGATACCAGGGCCACACAGTGGTCAGCAGAGTAAGAAAGAAGAGACTAAGAACCTCTGGTTGTTTGCAGATGGTCGCCATAGAACCATGATGACAAAGAGGATCATGGAGAACAGCAGTCGCCAGATGGCATCATCGACCCACAGCTCCCGCCAGTCCTATTAAAAGGGGAAAGGTACAATATTTATATATGTTATCATAACCCTTCATTCACAAAGCCCTTGTCATAGCACAAGAATACTTATTCATTCAACTTATGTTTACTAAAAGCCTGCTGTGTGCTAAGCATTGTGCTGAGTGCTAGGGACACAGAGGGAATGAATGGACAGAGTTTCCTCCCCTGTACTGCTTACTGAGCCAAGCACTCATCCAAGCTGCATTACAGCTCTGAGAATCTGAGGGAAGGGTTTTCACACAGGGTATGAGTTTGTGTTTATTTTTCATTTTCATTTACTTTTTTATTTTTACCTAAGCAGAGTCTTGAGCTGCCTCCAAAGAAATGCTATATTGTCTTAACCTGACTGACCAGTCTTTGTGCTCAGATATTAAGGACATGGCTTCTACTCAGATTATCATTATTCACATATACTTAATGTTCAGTACTCTGGATTTCTTGTTTGAGAATTTTTAGTGAAGGCAAGATTGATGACAGCCTGTGGCCATCACTTACAGAATTCTCTCTTACTACCAGGATTTGTAGTCAGATTAAAAACAATCATTGTAACGCCACGCGCCATGACAATACAGAGTACTTAGGGTGACACATAAGGAGGGCGCATGACCCACAGAATGGAGATCTACTCCTAATTTCTTAGAAGGTACATACTTGACAAGAACCTTACCGTTGTAATCATCATCTTCTGTGTATAAGACAGTACCCTATTCATAAAGGCATGTGCATATAACTTACCGACTGACAAGTCACTATCCTGAACTTCATGGTTGTCCAGATGATAAACACAATAGATGCTAACAGGAAATTAAAAAACCTGGTCAGAGTATGAATGTTGGTTTCCACCCCCAATGATATTCCCTAATTCTGGTTAGGTGGAAATCTACACACCCTTAACCCCCAATACATCACAATCATTTTCTATCAGTTATTTTAACGAATTTATTCAATACACATTTACTGAACACCCACCAGAAGCAGAGCCCATGCTACATACTGAAATGTTAATACTAAAGAGAAATCAGCTGTTTTAGTAAAAGTGGAATGTAATTTAGTAAAAGTGGAATGTAATTCCACTTTGTCTCTTCAACCTTTTCTGAGCTTAAAGAATAGTTTTATTTACCACCTGGCTACAGTTACTCTTAGAAGTAGAAAACAAGATATTGGAAATAAGTCTTTTTCCAGAATTAAGAATAATATAAAATACAATGGTGATACAGAAATAAGGTAGAAAAGACAAACTCGAAGAGATAAGGGCCTCCTGTTAAACATCTTAGCTTTTTTTTTTTCCTTCCCTTCCTTTAGCCTTAGAATAACTTAAAAAAAAAAAAACCAAGCCCCTTGCTGTCAAGTCAATTTCAATTCACAGCAACCATACAGGACAGAGCAGAACTGCCCCAAAGGGTTTCAAAGGAGCAGCTGGTGGATTCCAACTGCCGACCTTTTGGTTAGGAGCTGAGCTCTTTAACCACTGCGCCTCCAGGGCTCCAGCCTTAGTATAGTAATGATAATTTCTCTTCAGCTGGTCAGATGAAAAAGAAAGGATAGGCAAATTGATAAAAACACAACACAAACAGAAGAGTTGGTTCCAATCATAGGCCAGATCTCATTATTCCTGGTACAAGGGCCAAGAGGCAGCCATGGTAGTCAAAACGGCCTGGTACTGGTACAATGACAGACACGTAGACTAACGGAATAGAACTGAGAACCCAGACATAAATCCGTCCACCTATAGACAGCTGATACTCGACAAAGGGCCAAAGTCCATTAAATGAGCAAGAGACAGTCTCTTTAACAAATGGTGCTGGCAAAACCGGATATTCATCTGTAGAAAAATGCAACAGGACCCATACCTTACACCATACACAAAAGCTAACTCAAAATGTATCAAAAACCTAAATGCAAAACCTACAACTATAAAGATCATGGAAGAAAAAATAGGGGCAACCCTAGGGACCCTAAGACTTGGCATAAATAGTATATCAACCACAAAAAAAAAAAAAAAATGCACAAACACATAAACTAGATGAATGGGACTTTCTAAAAATTAAACACTTATGCCCATAAAAAGAGAACCTACAGACTGGGAAAAAATTTTCAGCTATAAATATCTGACAAGGGTCTAATCTCTAAAATTTACAGAAAACTTCAACACTTCAACAACAAAAAGACAAACAATCCAAATGGAAAAATGGGCAAAGGATATGAACAGACACTTCTCCAAAGAAGACATTCAGGTAGCTTACAAACACATAAAGAAATGCTCACAATCCTTAGTCATTAGAGAGATACAAATTAAAACTATAAATGAGATACCATCTCACCCCAACATAAATAGCACTAATCAAAGAAAAGAAAACAACAAATGCTGGCAAGGTTGTCGGGAGATTGAACTCTTATACACTGCTGTTGGGAATGTAAAATGGTACAACCACTATGGAAAACAATATGGCGCTTCCTTAAAAAGCTAGAAATAGAAATACTGTACAATCCAGCAATCCCATTCCTAGCAATATATCCTAGAGAAATAAGAACCATGACATGAACAGACATACGCACACCCATGTTCACTGCAGCATTATTCACAGTAGCAAAAAGATGGAAACAACCTAAGTGCCCATCAGCAGATGAACAGATGAACTGTGGTACCTACATACAATGGAATACTATGCAATGATAAAGAGTAACGACAAATCCGCAAAACATCTCACAACATGGATGAATATGGAGGACATTATGCTGAGTCAAGGAAGTCAATCACAAAAGGACAAATACTATATGAGACCACTATTATTAAAAAACAAGAAAAGGTTTATATACTGAAAAAAAATTCTTTGGTGGTTACCAGGGAAGGGGTGGGGGGAGTAAATTATTAAATAGATAGAAGTCATGTGGTAATACTGGTGAAAGGAAAGGTAATACACTATATGGGGGAAGTCAGCACAACACGATAAAGGCAAAGGAAGACACTGAGAGGAACACAAGAATAAAGGGTAACTACGGCAATTACTACAACACAGACAATCCTGCAACAACAGTATTAACAAACAATAATTTATGAAGGGATACACAGGTAGATAGGTACGATAAAGAGGCGTGGTAGGAGGTAAGAGAGCACACCCACCTGCAAATTATGTTAGGTTGTGAATATCTCTACATACATATTTGCAGATGTGCATGTATACTAACATAGACAACAGAACACACAAGGGGCACAGTCATGGAAGCTTCTTATGCATAACCACACACTTCTGGGACAAAGATACTAGGAAGATACTAGGTTTGAAGATTAAGGACCATAGACTCGTGGGACATCGACACCAATTAGCATAACAGTGCATAAAAACAACGTTCTACATCCTACTTTGTTGAGTAGTGTCTGGGGTTCATAAAAGCTTGCAAGTGGCCATCTAAGATACAACTAGTGGTCTCTTTCCCTCTGGAGTAAAAGAGAGTGAAGAAAACCAAAGACTCAAGGGTGCAATTAGTCCAAAGAACTAATAGACCACATGAACCACAGCCTACACAACTCTGAGACCAGAAGAACTAGATGATGTCTGGCTAACACTACCGACCACTCTGACTGGGATCACAACAGAGGGTCCCACACAGAGCAGGAGAAAAACGTAGGACAAAAAATCAAATTCATAAAAAAGACCAGACTTACTGGCTGAATACAGACTGGAGGAGCCCCTAAGACTATGGCCCTATGGCATCCCTGACTTGGAACTGCAGTCATTCCCGGAAACCCCCTTCCTGCCAAGCAATACATGGGCCTATAAACAATAACATCCAAGAGAAATGTGCTCGTAGAAAAAACAATTACACGAGACCAAAAGGGCAGTATCTGCCCAAAAGCATAGATGAGAAGGCAGGAAGGGGTAGGAAGACCAGACAAAAGGAAACAGGGAAGCCAAGGCGGAAATGGGGAGAGAGTTGACACAGTGTCGGGATTACAACCAACGTCATGGAACACTTTGTGTACACTTTATTGAATGAAAAGCTAATTTGCTCTGTAAACTTTCACCTAGAACACAATATTAAAAAAAAAAAAAAGTTTCCCTTATTTTGATTGTAATAAAAATATATATATATTAAAGACTAAACTGAAGCCCCTTGTTAGCTTCTTCCTTATTGCCCCTTTCCTTCCCCTGAGATAATCGGTATTGTCAATTTGATAATTCTCGGGCATGTTTCATATTACTAATAATTTGTATGTACCCAAACACAATGGAGAGTATAACGTGCCGCTTTTGAAACTTATTGTCAATTACACTGAATTCATCATTATGCAATTTGCTCTTGTACTCTGCATCATGTTTTAAAATCTATCCACGTGAACACATGCAGCCTGGTTTATCTACTTACCTGTTGTGTGGCAGTCTACTGAATGAATACACCATGATTTAGTTTTTGCTTTCACTAACAATGCCGCAGTGAGCATTCTAATCTCCTCGCACACGTGTGAAAATTTCTCGAGTCTGTATCTGAGAGCGGAGCTGCTGGGTCACAGCATGGCTCACCTTCAACTTTACAGGATTGAGACCAGATGTTCTCCAAAGTGGGTGGACTATTTTAAGCTTCCATAAACAGTGTGTGGGAGTCCTTGTAGCTATAAGTATACTAACCCCCACATTTAGTGTTATCAAAATTTGGGATTTTTGAGAATCTAATGGTATAAAAAGTTATATAATTTGCAACTCACTGATTCCCAGTGTCTCCATGTTTTTTACTGACTTACGGCCATTCCACTTCGCTCTTCTGTGAACTGTCTGTTTAGATCCTTTGCTCATTTTTTGTTGATTGCCTTTTGCTTAACAAATTATAGTTGTATGTGAACTATAGACCTTAATCTTTTCTCAGTTATATGCATCACAAATATCTCCCTTCAAATTGCATCTTGTCTTTGATTTTGTTCATAACAACTTTTGTTGGATATAATTAATTTTAATGACAAAAAAAAAAAAAGAAAGAGGCAGGCAAATTAGCCTAGTTTGGTACAGCCCACCTGGAGTGTATATTTTATTGATCCTCAGTGACATATATAAAAGCTATATAATAGCAGTGTACTCTAATCTTAAATTCTATAGCTACTTAATAAAACCAAATAAGCAACTATTAATATTAATGTCTTCTACAAAAGACTCCACCTGCCATCTGACACTCAAGCTAACTTGTCTCAAGAAAAAGAAGGCCTCAGAAAAAGGGTGGAGACAGGAAACGGACACACTAAGAGCTAAAATTACATGAGGTTGATTCCAGCTATTTTACTTAAAATAAGTGGTTCTTAAATCTTTTTTGAACCATAGGCCCCTTTGAGAATTTGACAAAAGCTAAGGACCCTTTCCCGAGTGAAATGCACAAAGCTTTATATGCAATTTTAGAGAGCCCACCCCTGGACTCTGAGGTTAAGACTCTCATTTAAACAGAAGGAAGAATATTCGTGACTTACCTGCCACAGCCAAGATAAGTGTGTTGGTGAAATGTCGGTACAAGGAGAGTTTGACAATGTTCCTCCGAAGTTTTAATAGCTTCATTGTTTGAGTCAAGCTAATAAATATGTGTTTGCAGGTCAAGGAAATCAACATTCAGAAAAACAATAAGCTAGAGGATTAATTCTCAACTTCCTCTGAGGATCTGAGGTCACAACTGGTAGAGCCAGGGATCCCAGAGGACTTATAGGTCTCTTGTTCTCACTGAACCTCACAAACACCCCCAAGCCTCATCAAGACTAGTAAGAAAGTCATCATATTCAATGAGACACTGATGAGAAGGTAGAACCAGAATAAGAAGAAAAAAAAAGGAAAGATATTAAAAAGAGAAATAAAGACAAAAAGCTTTCTAGAGAAATGAACAGATTAAAAAAAAGAAACAGACAAGTGGAAGATGAAATGAAAATGAATAACAGGTAAGAGGCAAGAAGTTAACATCATCTCCCTTCCTTTACGGTGGATGGCTCTGTTCTCACCTGTCCCACCTAACGAAGCCTAGGGCCATGATTACACTCATGCCTACAATATCCGAGAGTTCTATACTCAGTCCCCTTGTGCCATCTTAAAGAACCTGCCATCAGCTGCCTGTACTACTCTGAATTAAGAGGACCCTACAGTCAGCTGAGAATCCCAGGCAGTTAAGTGCCAAAGGCAACAACTCTCTATTTTCTGAGCATTATTCCCAAGTAGAAGGTGCTAGAGAAAGAGAGAGAGAAGGGGAACTTATGACAACTAAAGAGGATCTCTGTTCTCATGTCCAACTTTCAGAGTGAAGAGCAGATATGAAAACAAGGGAGTTGGAGCTTGCTGTGCCCTTGACAGAGGCTTAGCTGCTAGCTAGTCAATGAGTTATCTTATTGGATGGTCCAGTCCCACCTCCTTCTCTCCAGTCCGCCCAAAACTTAGACATTCACAAGGCACACTTGGAAAGATACTGACCTAGAAAAGCTTTGGCCATCTGGACTCAGGACACTTCAATTTCATACATTTTTTTATATATGGCAATCCACTCCAATTCACAAAATTATACAATTTTGTTCATATTCAGCTTTCTGCAACAGTGACAGTCTATCAAGACAGTAATACTGCACAGTTGTACATAGAACCAAACAAGTACACAAAATGAAAACAAAGTCAAAATAATCCCCAAAAAGACAAAAGTCCAAAAACTTGAATCCTTCACCCAACAGGCCAAATGCCTGTTAAACAAGTGTTTACTTTTAAGAAGCAAGAGAGAAAGAATAAAAACTTTTTTGTTATCTGCTGGTTGACTTTGCCTGCATATGAATCAATATTCATTTCTAAGGGTAGAAGTCTTCACATAATCCCAAGTCAGCTTTTGAATGAGGGAACAAAACAGTCACACTATAAAAGGGCCAAAACTTGCTAAACCTACACAGACTTTTTTAGACGTCTCCAACAACCTACCATAGTCCCTGAAACCACATTTTAACAATCAAAATCTTTTCATAATTTTCGGAACATTTAATAATTGCTAGTGGTTCTGGTGGTGCAGTGGTTAAGCACTTGGCTACTAACTGAAAGGTCAGCGGTTCAAACCCACCAGCCGCACCGCGAGAGAAAGATGTGACAGTCTGCTTCTGTAAAGATTTACAACCTTGGAAGCCCTATGGGGCAGTTCTACTCTGTTCTATAGAGTTGCTATGAGTCGGAATTGACTAGACGGCAGTGGGTTTGAGTTTGGCTTTTAAGTGGCTGAAAGAAAGAGGAGCACCAGAGCAGCCAGTACAGAAGTCCAAAGTCAAGGTGAAATGCTCATTTGAAAAAGAAAAGCCAGTAGCTTTTATCTTGCGCTCAGTCTAGTCACCAACTTCTGACGTGATTTTAAAAATCAGAGAGGGGGAAAAAAAAAAAACAACTGCTTACCTGAGCCCTCAGGTTGTTAGGCCTAAAATACCCTATTCCTCAGAATAAGGAGTCATCAACAAAAGTGGTAAAAACCCTTTGCAGAAAGATCAATGGAAACCCATCTCCAAGGGGGAAAATGAACGTCCATCAAACAAGCCAACGAGAAGGATATCCACCAGCAGAGGGCAGTGTCTAGGAAAGCCAAGGGGATAAAGGCCAAGGAAGCAAGATCAGTCTGGGCCTGCAGACAAAGAAAAGGAGGTGGTGAAAAAGAGACATCTAGGAGGCACAGAGAAGAAACTGGCATACAATTCTGCATTTATATAATCATCTGGATTGGTCTACGTTTGAACTGGAAGAAAATGAACAACACTTGGCACCTACATCACTCTTCCCTTCTGGCAAACCATCACTTAGAATACACAGCTATAAGCATTCCCACAAATTGTCAATTACAATCTCATACAAGGAAACATGCTGCTAACTAATAAAAAGCAACCACCACACAGCTCCTAGGGAACTAAGAGCCATGTTAACAAATGACCACATCAAAAATGTTAGTGTTTATAAACCCCCAGCCCAACAACACTTTCCTATCGGTGTAATTTTGACAACAAGTCTGAAAAGACCCTACTCATATTTTAAAAAATAATAAATTGCATCAATATACTATGAATTATTCATTTCCATAATTACAATATAATGGAGTTTTACAAACAAGAGCTTGCCCCAAAATAAAATATAAGGCCATTATCTGTCCCCAAAACTATGTTGCTTGTTTTCACAAGTGTATACATAAGATGGTGTTTATATCACCATAATTACCCAATGACCAGGGAATTATGAAAGGATATCCATAAAATAATACAGGCATCAATTGCTGAGAGGGCCAGGTTTACTATCAGAGCCAAAGGATAAGAAAAATACTACAGCAGAAGAAGAAAGAAAACAAAATCGACAGAGAGTTAAATGCTAAAAGTCTAAGGAAATCACAGAGGATAGTGTGATTTGAAAAACAAATTTGCATCCAATTAGATGTTTCACTTAAGGGGCAATTTATTGTAAAACTTCTTGAGCCTAGTTTTCTTGAAAGCAAAGCCAAGTTTATAGAATTTACAACCTTGAATCTAATAGGCTGTTCCAGAGTCTAATTTGAAAATAAGTAAGACAAAAAGCGGAGTGGCCCAAGAAGGTGTACCTCCTAACTTTAACAATTTCTTTCCCACTTATATCTCAATGCTTTAGTTTCCTAATTATGTAATTATGTAATTGGTATAAAACTTTAATTAGCTGCATTTTAACAAAAGCTTTGAAACTCGAGTGCTGGTTAAGCAAAGATCACTGTTATTTTAAACAAAAATCAGATTAACAAGTAAGTACATGATTCCAAAATTTGTCTTATATACAGGAGGAGAGTCCACTGCCTGGAAAGAGGACTAAATAACTATCAGTGTGGAGAGAGGTGGGGAAGCACTCATTCCCAGTCACACATTAAACTTATAAGGCTCTAACAGACAGATCAAAAAGGAAAAATGAATTATACCTACATTTTTAAAATCAGCCCAAAGATGACTTAGAGGAAATAGCAAAGAGCCTTCCGACCCACCCTCTTAAAACGAAAACATCTGAACTGACCACAGAAGCTCGGATTGTGCAGTACTGACCCCAGTAACTCTGAGGACCCCTTCCATGCCCGAGAACAAAAGATAGAGGGCTCCTGCTACCACAACCTTGTGAAGAGTAACTCCAAGGCGAGGCCTAAAGAGGAAGCAAAGCAACAGTTGAGTACAAATGCGACAAGATAAGCTAAGAAACAGGAACTCATGATAATTTATACAGACTAACCAATTACAGAGATAAACAACACACACTTGATTCACCTGGGGAAAAAAACTTATAAAAACATGGTCTTAAACAAGAGAGTGAATTCTAGAGCTTTATATCTGGTCCCTAGTTACTACATTTAAAAAAAAAAAAGTTTATTATGGAGAATCTTGAAACAAAATTATTACATGACTATAAATCACTAATAAGAAAATTACTATACTACTACAAAAGTAATACAATAAACCTCCATAAACCTATCTCCCAGTCCCAACCACCACCAACCTATGGCCAATTCTGCCCCATGCACACTCCATCCACCTCCATATTATCTTGAAGCAAATCCCAGATATCATACTGTTTTCTTTGTATATATTTCAGTATGAATTTTTAAAAGGACTTCTTAAAAACATAATCACATTACCATTACGAAATCTAAAACTTTTAACAATAATTCCTTAATACTAATCGAACACCTGCTGTACTTTACTGAGTAAGTATCACATATGAAAGCTCAAACCCATGGGTGGTGCCAAGAGTTAAGCACTCGACTACTGCCTGAAAGGTCGGCGATTCCAACCCACCCAGCGGCACCTTGGAAGACAGGACTGGCAATCCGCCTCTGAAAGGTCACAGTCCTGAAAATCCTGCGGAGTGCAGCTCTACTCTGCACACACAGGGCTGCCACAAGTTAGAACCAACTCACTGTCAACTGGTTTTTGGTTTATGAAAGCTCAAAACCCAACATGATATGAAAAGTCTTTGTGCAACTTTGATTTGAAGGAGGAAAAGCCTTAGACCCTTGATAATCAAAATTCTACTGGGTCAGAATCTACATTTTAACAAGATCTCCAGGTGATTCATGAATGCATTATAGTTTGATATGCACTGGCTTAGAACATGTCTACCTAAGCCTTAGCAATATTTGTTCTTATTTTTTTTTGTTATATTCTAGAAAAGCTCCATGGGGCAGGAATCTCCACCCCCCTCCCCCCATTCACACTGATGTATTCTGGATACCTAGAAGACTTCCTAGCCCTATACGAGGCACTCAAATATTTGTTGAATAAAGGAATTCAAAAAATTAATACATGCAAACACATCCCATTTTTCTAAAGCCATTTAAAGCAAAACTCTTTGAAATAACGGTCTATATCTAGCTATCTCCAATTCCTCTCTTCATTCTCTCTGGAACCCACTGCAGTCAGGCTTTGTCCCCACCACTTCACTAAGACCATTCCTGTTAAAGTCACTACTATCCTCCATGTAGTTAAATCCAATGGTCAACTCTCAATCCTCACCTTACCTGACCTACCAGAAGCATCTGACACAATTAATTACTCCCTCCTTGAAACACATTCTTCAGGTTTCCCTCCTATTCACTGGTCACTACTGAATGGCCTTGGTTCTAATTCTAGTTCATATCACTGACTTCTGAAGAGCAGAGAACGTCCAAGGGCTCGGTCCTTGGATCTTCTGTCTACGTTCACCTCATTGGTGATCATATGAGTCTTATGGCTTTAATAACATCTACCTCCTGATGACTCCCAAATTTACAACTCAACCCCAACACCCTCCCCTCCACTCCTGGCCCATATGCACTTAGATGTCTAACTCAACTCCTAATCTTACCCTCGCTCCAATCTTACTCCACCTAAAGTCTTCCTCAGCTCATAAGTGTGGATTCCACCCTTCCCCTCGCTCAGACCAAAGCAGCTGGCATCATCTCTGATTCCTGTTCTCTTTCACATCACACATCTGATCCATCCACAAACTCCATTCTCTCCACCTTCATATATACAGAATCTAATGACACTCCAGCATCTCTTCCCCACAGTGTACATACAGCAACTTTACTTCCTTCAGGTCTTTGCTAAAATGTCACCAACTAAGGCCTTCCCTGACCATCCTTTTAAAAATTGCAAGCTCCACCTCCTGCATAGTACACCCTATCCCCTTTTCCCTGCTTTATTTGCTCCACAGCACTTATCACTGACATATTAGATAGTTTACTCACTTATTTGATTTTTGTCTGTGTCTCCTCCCTCCATAAATCTAAGTGCCAAGTCTTTTGTTTACTTGCTGTGTGCCTAGGGCCTAGAACAATACATAGTATACAGAAGGCATTCAATAAAAAATTTTTTAATAAAAATTAAATTGTTTTCAGACTGTTTCAGCAGGAATGCTCTTCCATAAAAAAATCTGATTTACAAGAAAATTTGGAAGAGTAAAGTCAACTATAAATTTACTCTAAGTTCGGTATTTCAATGTCACGCAGTACATTGCAAGATTTCCTGCAGGTGATCCTTGAGTTCTAAGTAAAATGAAACACTAACATTTTCCCAACCTCTACAAACCTATGAAATTTCAGATATCTTTTCTTATTTCAGAACTATTTTTGTATCAACTCTTTTACAACTACTACACTGGGAATCTGTACTACTGTCTCAATTTAATAAGAATTTCCATACAGGAAGTTAGTACTTACTTGACTATGCCATAGCCCAGACTGACTATGATGACCAGCGTTCGAGCCAGTGAGCGTTTCACCGCTGAAAGCAACTCTGCAAGGATCAGTGCACCTTGGACTATCAGAAAAAAGAAAGGCAGGAAGTGGGGACACTGTAATCAAGGTTTAGCAGAAGGTACTATTCTACTATCAGAATGTAGATCCCTAACACTCTTCAGAATAAGCACTGGGTTTAGTTCTATCAAAAAAGAATATTTCTGCAATTTTTAAAAATACATAAGCTGATAGCATTTATGATCTTGCACTTGTATACAGCAATCTGGGTGTGCTCAATCCATTTCTCTCCCTCCCCACTAAAACCCTGGCAGAATATTTCACCCTGTATGGACAGTTTCTAGCATCTTAGAGAATTTTTAGAAATACAGCTATACAAAGAAAAGCATAACACACACAATTTCCATATCTATTATTTTAAAACCCTTTCAAAGACCAGGAAAAGATCTAATTAACATATTTTGAAACAATAATTATTATTGATCAAATGGTCTGAAGAGAGAGAACGGAATACAGAAAACCTCAGGACAAAATAATTTGTCATCACCAGGAGTCATGGATTGAGTTGTGTCCCCCAAAAATATCTGTCAGCTTGGCTAGGTCATGATTCCTAGTATTGTATGATTGTGTTATCTGATGTGATGTCCTTATGTATTGTAAACTCTACCACTATGATGAGATTATATGTGATCTCCTCATGTGTTGTAAACTCTATCACTCTGATGAGGTTGATAAGATTAGTGTCTTAACGCAATCTCCTTTGAAATATAAAAGACAGAAGCGAGCACAGACACTGAAGAACCTCATACCACCAAGAAAGCAGTGCCAGTAGCAGAGCACGTCCTTTGGACCTGAGGTTCCTGCGCAGAGAAGCTCCCAGACCAAGGAAAGACTGATGCATCACAAGGACCTTTCTCCAGAGCTGACAGAGAGAAAACCTTCTCCTGGAGCTGATGCCCTGAATTTGGACTTGTAGCCTACTGGACTGTGAGAGATAAACTTCTCTTTGTTAAGGCCATCCACTTGTGGTATTTCCGTTGCAGCACTAGATGACTAAGACACCAGGTTACCTTATTGCCTTCCTATTTTGTTGGTATTCTGTATTTTATCAATTCTTACATGCACCTTTCCCCTAAATTTTAACATCTTTGAAATCAGGGTGTGTCTTACAATCAATCGCTTCTTACAATTCAGTAAACCAAACCCACTGCTGTTGAGTCAATTCTGACTCATAGCTACCGAATAGGACAGAGCAGAACTGCCCTATTTGGTTTCCAAGGCTATAATCTTTATGGAAGCAGACTGCCAAATCTTTCTCCCATGGAGCAGCTGGTGGGTTCAAACTGCTGACCTTTTGGTTAGCAGTCGAGCACTTAACCCCTGTACCACCAGGGCTCCTTTACAATTAAATAGGCAGGGTTTATTCTCTTTCTTAAATGTAGATAGTAATAATGATGCTTCACAAATCAGTGGTGACTAACATTCAAGCACGCTAATAATCTTTCCCAAAATGGCCACTACTATTTAAAATAACCTTATGAGTATATTTTAGTAACATTACTCCTACATCACTGAACTCATAAATTATGAGATTAAAAGCAGAAGTCGCAACAATAGGGATTCTGCTTAAGTTATGCTAATAATTAACAGAAAAGCTAGACCTATTTAATGACTGCTGAACCTAGAAAAATTTTCCCACATCTCACCTGTCAATCACTCACAAAATGGCAAACCCTCTTTGGTTACATACCAGATTCTCCTTTATATCGGATGTTCTGAAATTCTGCATAGAAGACAGCTTTCTCAAGCATTCCCAGGAAGATCACAGCACCGATCCAAAACTGAATTCTCAGGAGATCTCTCCAATAGCAGGCAGACCATGCCAGCCAGAGAACACCGAACAGGACATATACAATACACATCACCATAAAAAACTGTCACCCAAGGGGGTAAGAGATAAAAAAGAAAATCAGGGACAAGAGCCAAGTATCTAGATGTAGTATCAATATACAGTCTTAACAAACCACTAAATAAACAAACAAAACCTTCTATTTAAAAAATAATTATTTTATTTCTTTGGAAATAATACACATCCACACCTACCCACATAACTGCACACATATCTTTTGGTTGTTTTTACTATTGTTGCAAAATTGTATATATTACAGCATTTACCTTAACTGTCCCTTTTTCTTGTGTTCTTCTTAGTGTCTTTATTTACCTTGGTCAAATTGTGCTGACTTCAACCATATTTGGTCTCGTCTTTCCCATCACCAAAGGTAACAAGTGTCTACGATCCAGAAAGTGACTGGCCCTCTCCCTCCCTCCCACCCCTTGCAACCATCAAAGAGCTTTGTTTTCTGTGTGTATATCTACTCTTGATTTTTGATAATAATCGGACCATACATTGTTTTTGTGACTGACTTATTTCACTCAGCATAATGTCCTCCAGATTCACTCATGTTAAAAATGTTTTGCCGACTCCTCATTATTCTTCACAGTTGCCTACTACTCTGCTGCGTGTACGTACCAGTTTATTTATCCATTCATCCACTGACGGGCACTTGGGCTGTTTCCATCTTTTTGCTATTGTGAATAATGCTGCAGTGAACACAGGTATGCATGTCTTTTCGTGTCACTGCTCTTCTACGTTGTCACTATTTGAATTGTGTCCCCCAAAAAATGCGTGTATCAATTTGGCTAGGCCATGATTCCTGGTACTGTGTGATTTTCCTGTATGCTGTAAACCTGCCTCTATGATGTTAATGAGGGAGGATGGGTGGCAGTTGTGTTAGTAAGGCAGGACCTGATCTAGAAGACTGGATTGTATCCTGAGGCAATGTCTTGAGATATAAAAGAGAAGTGAGCAGAAAGACAGGGGGACCTCATACCATCAAGAAAGCAGTGCCAGGAGCAGAGCGCATCCTTTGGACCGGGGTCCCTGCGCGGAGAAGCTCCTAGTCTGGGGGAACACTGATGAGAAGGCCGAGAGAGAGAAAGCCTTCCCCAGGAGCTGACACCCTGAATTTGGACTTTTAGCCTACTTTAACTGTGAGGAAGTAAACTTCTCTTCATTAAAACCATCCACTTGTGGTGTTTCTGTTATAGCAGCATTAGATGACCAAGACATATGTCTAGAATATATACCTAAGAGTGGGATGGCTGGATCCTATGGTATTTCTATTTCTAGCTTTTTGAGGAAGTGCCATACTGTTTTCCACAGTGGCTGTACCATTTTACAATCCCACCAGCAATGTGTAAGAGTGCCAGTCCCACTACAACCTCACCAGCATTTTTTTCTGTCTCTTTGATCACTGCCATTTTTACAGGGGTAAGATGGTATCTCACTGTAGTTTTGATTTGCATCTCTCTAATGGCTAATGATCTTTTCAGGTATTTGTAGGCTACCTGAATGTCCTCTTTGGTGAAGTGTCTGTTCATGTTCTTTACTCATTTTCTGATTGGATTGTCTTTTTGCTGTTCAGTTGCTGACATTTTCTATATATTTTAGAGATTAAACTTTTATCAGGTATGTCATTGCCAAAGATTTTTTTCCCAGTCTATAGGTTGTCTCTTCTTATACTCTCTTGGTAAAGTTTTTTGATGAGTGTAAGTATTTAATTTTTAGGTGGTTCCAGTTATCTATTTTATCTTCTGTCATTAGTGCATTTTTAGTTTTGTTTGATAAACTATGCTGAAAATTAGGTCCTCTAGTTTTGATCCTGTTTTCTTCCAGGAACTCTATAGTTTTGGCTTTAACATTTAGGTCTTTGCTCCACTTTGAGTTAGTTTTTGTGCATGGTGTGAGGTATGGATCCTGTTTCATTTTTCTGCACATGGATATCCAGTTCTGCCAGCACCGTTTGTTAAAGAGACTCTTTCTTCCCCATGGACTTTGACTCTTTGTCAAAGATCAGCTGCCCACAGGTGGATGGATTCACTTCTGGGTTCTCAATTCTATTCCATTGGTCTATGTGAGTGTCACTGAAGTGGCACCAGGTGTTCTGATTACCGCGGCTGTACAGTAAGTTTTGAGATTGGGAAGCGTGAGGCCTACTTTGTTCTTCTTCTTCAATGTTGCCCAAGCTATTCAGGGCCTCCTTCCTTTCCATATCAAGCTGGAGATGAGTTTTTCCATTTCATTAAAGAATGTTGTTGGGGTTTGGATGAGGATTCACGAAACAACTGTCTCCTCTAGAGCAGAGGGACACGACAGAGACTTATCCTCAAGTGACTGCCTTCCTGTATTAAAAGAGCTTTTTCAGCTCACAATCTAAAATTGTAGAAAAGAAGAAAACACTGAGGAAGAAGAACAGGTATAGCAGGGTTAGGAAAGATCTGGAGAGAAGAAAACACTACAAAATGGGAAAATCACAAAAGGATAAAGAGGAAAAAACAAAAACGTTCATGAACAAAGGAAATCAGAAAACAGATTAAGGATATTCTCATACACACAACAATGAAAACAATGCAGCTCTGCCATTAGTTAACTGTAAGAGGATAAGAAACTGCAGGATTGTAAGAAGGAGCCCTTGGGATCCTAGAGAGCATGAGACGGCCTCTGAGGTGCTTTCCAATGCTAACGTTCCACAAGTCATCAACCCCTTCGTTTTACAGATGAGAAAATGAGGTGCAGGGAAGTTCAATGAACCCTCCCAAGGTCACATTCTACTAAGAAGTCCAGAACTAGAAGCAATATTTACTAAACTATTCAGGAACAATTCTTTAAAAGAGAATATTGTCACAAAATTTGGACAGCTTCTCAAGCTAAATTAATTTAATCTTGAGGTTAAAGAATTTAAGTTCACTTACAATCATCAGTGGATATTCTTCAAGTGTGAGGTATTCATAGGGGCCCTTCACTTCAACAGTCACTGCAAAACACAATCCTCAGAATGAATTTCATGAAGGCAAAAATGGACAGCATTGTCTTAAATTTGTTTAATAGAAGTCAGAGACATTTTATTGAATCATTTACTTATACCATTTAAATCCTGGTGAATATCACATTACATTCCTACAGCACCTCAAAGTTCATTACGTGTTTTCACAATTCACGTTGTATCCTGCATAGGCTTCCATGCCTCTGCTCCAGGCAGCAGCTGAAGTGGAAAAGTCCTTCTGTTCCCATACGCATATCCTTTAAAGCCCACATTAAATGCTATTCCCTCCACAATGCCTTCTCGAAACTTTATAACTAATCTCTACCTCTTCACATATACTTTCCTTACAACATATCACTGATATCCTCTGAAAAGACAGGACCTCATTCCTTCATCCCTTTTATGTGTATTTTACCATTGCTTTGTTTTTTTTTTTTTTAAACCCATTTCAATTTGATGTGATCTTGCTACATAATGAATCTTTGTTAAGCCATCTTAGATCTTTTTCAAAATGAGGTTAAGGTATTTAAAACAAACAAACAAATAAAAAAACCCTAGGAATTCACACAAATAACATACCCTCTCAGATAAAATAATGTGGGAATACTATCCAGCTTCCCAATTATGTACCCTGGATCCCCAGTCCAAAATGAACATAAACTTAAAACTTCAGACGGCTGCAAAGCACCATCCAATATAGAACTGGCCTTTCCCAAAAGTTGCTCGTTAATATTTTTCAAAGTCTCTGTTACTAATAACAAAGTATGTAATTAATAAAGTAAAACAAGTGAAAGTAACAACATGAATCTGAAAGATGGATTTGCCTTACTAAAGCAACCCTATGATTATTTTAAGATTGTTTCAAACTAACAAAATTACTTGGTTTAATTCTGTATTTTTATTACATAAAAATCTGATGTATCTGACGATCATTCCCAGAGACTACCAACCGTCCATTCAACAAAAATTTCCTACCAGCTTGTAGAAGGCAAAGAGGACATCCTATGATTAAAAGTAAGTCAAGTCTAAGTTAATTACGTGAGTATAAAGGAGAATTCCATAATGGCAATCTTATAAAAATTTCATAGCAGAACTGGTTGTTAAATCCTAATCCTGTATTTTCTTAAATCAATAAAAGAGCACATAAAGTAATTAATGAATATTCTGTCACATTCTTTGCTTACGCTATGCAAGGGGTCAGGAAAATACAGCACATGGGCCAAATCTTGCCCGCCATCTGTTTTTGTAAACAAAATTATATTGGAACACAGCCCCACCCATTCACTTAAAATGCACTGTCTGTGGCTGCCTTGGCACTAAAATGGCAGAAGCGTATAGTCGCAACGAGAAAATATTTACTATCTAGCCCTTTAAGAAAAGGTCTGCCAACCCCTGCTCTATGTTAAGAAGTGCCACACATTTCCGGAACGCTGACTGTGTGGCAGGCACTAGGAAAACACAAGCAACAGAAAGATGAATACCACGTTGTAGGCCCTCTAGAGCACAACTACCTAGCATAGGAGGGGGAGCTGGAAAGCAACTTAAGAGAAGTGGACCTCTGAGCAGACCCAAGAGGATGAGAATGTATTTTCCAGGATAGCAAACAAGGCTTCCAGGCTGAAGAAATAACATGAACAAGGACAGGGGTGAAAGCTCATGATATATTTAAAGAGCACTGTAGTCTGAGACTGTCCATGGCACCACAGAGGGCAAGGCAGCAAAAGGTAAACTAGGGCAGAATGTAAAGGGCTTTATAAGCTTTGCTGCAGATTGTGGACATTTTTCAGGCAACTGGGAGATTTTACTAAAGGGAAATAAGATGATAAAGCAGTTTTAGAAGGCTAATTGTAGGACTTCCCGATAAGACAGCATAGTTAAGTCCAAGCTTTCATGTACCTTTCAGATCCAAACAAGAGATATATAAAACATAAAAAAGAGAAAACCAAAAGGACATAAGCTCAAAAAAAACAAACATCTCCAAGGACCAAAACTGAACAGTATCTCAGAAGAGTGTGTGTGAGACTGAATCCGTGATCATTCCAGATGCTGGGTCCAGAGTGGCTGGGAGTTCAGTTCCTATGGGATGACTGTAACCAATAGGATTCCAAGAAAAAGGGGGCCCACAGCCAGGTTTAGGCACAAAGAGGCTGACATGGGAGTAGACTGGAGTGGAACTGGGATTCTCCTCCATCCTTTGCAATGAAAGATGATGACAACTGCTACCTGGGACTATTGCTCATTACAAAGCCACAGGTCTAGACAACCAGGACACAGGTACATTCATGGGACTAGAAATCATGTCAGGCCACCCACTGGTTTCCCTAGATGTGCTATAACCTCCAGGTCACTATGGGGCTAATTATAAGACCCATTTCTGGATTAGGAGTTAAGCATTCAACGTAAGAAACCACAAAAACGAAAGTTTAAATTTAAGTCAAAGGAAGGAAACAAAGATAAAAGTACAAGTTAATGAAACAGACAACAAAGAAATAAGCAAAAAATAACAAAACCAAAAGCTGGTTCACTGGGATAAAAATGTAATAAGATAAAATTCTTGAAAAGATTTAACAGGTTCAAAAGACACAAAAGCAATATTGAGAATGCAAAAAGGCCACAGACTTTTTAAACAAAGAAAATAAGATGAATAACTTCTTGCCTCTAATATTGAAATCTTAGATGAAATGGACAACTTTAAAAAATAATAATAATAATTCAAAGAAAAATAGAAAATCTAAGTACACTTATTACTACTAAAAAAAATAAATAAGTTGTTTAAAATCTATCTGAGGAAAAGAAAGAACACCAGGCCCAGACAGTATTATAGATGAGCTCTACTAACATTAAAGGAGAGAATAACCCTGACCTTATACAAACTGTTACAAGAATACAAAAAGAGGGGACACTCCACAATTCCCTGTATGAGACCAGCACAACATGAATGCCAAAACCAGTGGCAGACAGTTATGAGAGAAGACAATCACAGGCTAATCTCACTTTGAACACAGACAAAAAAATCCAGTAATGTGTATGTACATGTATGAATGGGCAAGTGTGTGTGTGTACCAAGACCAGGGAGTGGTATCCCAGAAACTCAAAGACGGTTTAACGTTAGAATGAATTAAAATTAAAAGAGAAAATCTACACGGTCACTTTAATTAACCCACTCAAAGCATTCTGAACTGAACACTCATTCTTAACAATTAAAAAAAAAAAAAGGAAACAAAATACTTCTGGTAAACTAGAAGTGACCATCACTAACCAAATAAAGACTATTCTCAAAAATCTACAGTCCACATCATACTTAACGGAGAAACGTACCAATATTGTGAAGTCAGGAACAAGATAAAGGAGGCCACCATCATTGTTTCCATTCAACACTATGTGTTATGGATTGAATTGTGTCCCCCAACAATATGTGCTGTAAATCCTAACCTCTATGCCTGTGTTTCACGTACTTTAGACATGCTGTCAGGAGGGACCAGTCCCTAGAGAAGGACATCATGCTTGGTAAAGTAGAGGGGCAGCGAGCAAGAGGAAGACCCTCAACGAGACGGACTGATACACTGGCTGCAACAATGGGCTCAAATGCAGCAACGATTGTGAGAATGGCACAGGACCAGGTAGTGTTTCGTTCTGTTGTACACAGGGACACTAAGAGTCGGAACCTAACTACAACACAACCACATGCCTGTGGCTATAATCCCATTTGGGAATGGGTTGTCTTGTGTTATGTTAACGAGGCAGGATTAGTATAGGTTATATCTTGAGTCAATCTCTTTTGAGATATAAGAGATTAAATGCAAGCTGGCAAGGACGGGGTTGGGGGAAAGAGATGCCAAGCACATCAAGATTGCCCAGCAGGAGTTCAGAAGAGAAAAGGACCTTCCTCCAGAGCCGACAGAGAGAGGAAGCCTTCCCCTAGAACCAGCGCCCTGAATTCAGACTTCCAGCCTCCTCAACTGTGAGAAAACGCATTTCTGTTGGTTAAAGCCATCCACTCGTGGTATTTCTATTATAGCAGCACTAGATGACTAAGACACCATGCTTGAGAAAACAGGGGAGGAAAGGAACAAGCAAAGTAGAAGGAAGAAACAGAAAAAGAAACCACAGAAAATAAGAGTAGTTAGGAACTTACTGCAAAAACCCAGGTAAGAGATAATGACCTGATGAACTGGGCAGTGTGTTGAAAAGGAAAACGCTAAGAAAAATTCTTGAGATATTAAGAAATTACAAAACTCGGGCACGTTTTTACAAATCTAGTTCAATATTAGGAAGAGTATACCAATTTAAAAAAGCAGGAGGATCAAATGAAGAAAAACAAAATCTAGCATGCATAGTACAAGAAAGCTGTCCTAGGACTGTGCCTAGGACATACTTGGATATAGAAAAAATTCTTAATTCCTATCATTCAATTTCTCCACTTCACAGCACACATTCATAATAAATCAGTCCCTCTCTTAAAGCAATTTTACATTACCCACTAGCCATGACACAACAGAGAATTTCACACAAATGTTTAAAAAGAAGCAAACAAACAAATTGAACTTACTGGTAAAAAGAGTACTTAGTGACTTTTCCTTCACAGACTCCTTTGAAGATGGAATACCAATATGTACAATAAAAATGTATGGTGCATCTTGCCATGTTTTCAATGGTTCATGCATTACCTAGAATGGAAAAAGACATCAAACCTTCACTCAAGTCTTAAGAATTTAGAACACAGTTTAATAATACAAAAATTTTGCTCCAGAAATTTGCCCAGAAATATGGTAGAGTCTTTCACTTTCATCCATTAAAAAAGTAAGCACAACAAAACAAAAAGACCTCTAAACGTATACAATAGTTTAATTATAAATTACTGGAAGGCAGGACATCCACTATTCTGTTACACGCAAAAATCACACATTTAATAGATTTACTTTTATTATAACAAAAACTTCAATAAGATCATTAAATTGAATGTGTGTTTAACCAAATCATGCTAGGATACTAGGTTATATTTTACACAGAAGTCCTGAACAAACTATGGAGACTATTTAAATCACCTAAAAAATCCATGATGATGTCAGTAAACACGAATTATAAACACCAATTTTTGAATCTAATTCCCTCTTCTCAATGGCCAGAATTTCTGCTGATATGATCTCACATTTATATCAAAAATTGAATCCTGGGCTAGTATATGTGGAAAGGAAGAGTCACTGCTCCCCAAAGTCAAGGAAGTTAACAGCCTCCATGTTCACAGAACTGGTTACTCGGGAAGAATCTGCTACAAGGCCAGACAGCTTATGCACACCCCTAGCAAAAAGTCTTCAAAAGATTCATCGTCATATATGCTAGAGATGGACTATGGGCCTTCGCAACCACAAAACTAAGATACAAAGATAAAACAGAGGCATGTAGAAAAAAACTGGTTTCTTCTGTGCGTCTCAAATAAGGTACTGCTGACTTAGACTTGCAATTTATTATGGTCTTCTCTTAAAAGGAGAAGCTTTTATCCTGGGATCTCTGGGGGAGCTTCAGCTGACCTAGGAAATCCTTCAAAGAAGGTACCAAATTTAACACATTGATGCATCTTCCTGGAAGACCACAGCTTTTATCAAACTCTCAAAAGACTCTACAGCCCAAGAAAAGGCAATTCATTTATTAGTTTATCTTAGTAACTGAAGAACATAAATGCCATCCGGAATCATACCTGGATTTACCTCTGCTTAATCTCTGACAAGACTTAGGAACAATTTATGAGAAAAATTTACAGCCAAAAAGTTATGGGTACATCACACATCCTATTACCAATAATTAACTGAATCTTTTCCTGAACCTACTCATTAACCTGTTAAAAATTTGTATGGGGTAATAACCTGCTCTGCTAGTAATTTTATGTTATCTTAAAACTACCTCTTCTAAATTTCAAGTGGGAATGATTAATTCTCATATTCTAGGATCTAACAAGGTTTACAGTTAACTCCAAGAATACAGAAAGTTTGATCTTGTAAAAGAACACTTGTATGACAGGCACACTGGTTAATACTGTAACATGTCTGATCTTCTTTACCTTCACAACAATGCTATCAGGTAGGTATAATTATTAGCTCCACTTTATAGTTTCAGAAACAGAGGCGCAAGAGAATAATTTGTCCAAGGGAAGTAGGAAGCCATGGAGTTGGATTTTGAATCTAGGACATCTGATTCCAATGCTCTTACTTAACCATCACCACAACTACTGTTTCTCTCCTCCAAGCTTAATAGACTGTTTTGAATTAAAACGCAGAGTCTTCAGGATATTGCCTCAAAGCTTTTAATTTCCCTTCAATAAACCTTTGCTAACCCCATTAGGCCTGTAGTAAGGTGAGAGGATTAGAGCTGCATGTGGTAACTCAGTCACCAATGTTCTTAGAAAACTACACTGCAAGAGTGGCTTTGTTCCTAATATATTTTATTTTTTTTTATTAAGCACTCCTTTGTCAAAATTATAATGGCAAATATAACCACATTACTACTTCAATCAAACCGGAAATCTGAATTAATCAAAAAGAATCAAATCTTTTCATGGGCGAGAGCTGAGGAGAGGACCTTCCCTCCAGACTTGTATGTTTTATCAGAGCTTTTAAAGACAGCGGGCACTGACTGCTCTGACAGGGATCACAACAGAGGGTCCCCGACAGAGCTGGAGAGAAATGTAGAACAAAATTCTATCTCACAAAAAAAGACCAGACTTAATGGTCTGACAGAGACTGGAGAAACCCTGAGAGCATGGCCCCTGGACACCTTCTTAGCTCAGTAATGAAGTCACTTCTAGGGTTCACCATTCAGCCAAAGATTAGACATGCCCATGAAACAAAACGAGACTAAAGGGGCGCCCCAGCCTAGGGGCAAGGACAAGAAGTCAAGAGGGGACAGGAAAGCTGGTACTAGGGAACCCAAGGTCGAGAAGGGAGAGTGTTGACATGTTGTGGGGTTGGTAACCAATGTCATAAAACAATACATGTACCGTTTAATGAGAAGCTAGTTTGCTCTGTAAACCTTCATCTAAAGCACAAAAAAAAAAAAGAAAAAAAAAAGACGGGGCGGAAAGGGAACTTGTGAGCATCCTTTTAAAAAGGATTATAAACTTCTACCCGCTAGGCCCAATTTTCAGAAAGAAAGATCAAAGGGCAGAATCTTTGACTTCTTTGACTATAATCTGATTAAGTATTTATAAATATTACTGGTGATAGTCACTCAACAGGATCATCTTTCAGCCAGCTTTGAGCATTGAGAACAAGGTCTAAGCCTTGAGGAGAACTTAAACTACACTGGGCCCAGAAGACAACGCAATAAAGTACAAACAGCCAGTATGCATATTATTGAATGTTACACTTCTATTTTTTAAATACAATTTACAATAATAAATTGGCACTTCCACTTGACAAATTGCATAAAATATTTTTTAAACAATACCAGCCATTTTTGGTGAGGAAAAAGGCAAAGTCACTCCCACTTTGTTGGGACCATCAACTGTGACAACATTTCTGCACAGCAATTTGACAAACCATAGGAAAAAAACTTGTTAAACTCTTCATACACTTGGACCCAGCAATTCCACCTCGAGGAAGTTAGCCAAAGGAAAACACTGTAAATGTGCACATGTAGCTAGACATTATATACGTGACATTATCCCTAACAGTGAATAACTGGAAACAACCTAAACGTCTATCCGTTGGGAGATGATGATAAAAATCATGGTAAAGCGGAATATTAGGCAGCCAACAAAAAAAGTGAAGTAGTGCTCTATGTGCCAATGTGGAAAAAAAGGCTTCATTAAGTAAAAAGAAAAAAATCACACCACAGTCTGTATATGAGCCCATTTTGGCTAATATGCATGTACTCTGGGTAATCATACCAAGATACAGAATCAAAGATTCCACAAGAAAGCTTTGGGGGGAGCAGAGGAGGCCAAATTATAAAAACAATACATATTTATTCTAGAAAATATGGGAAATACAGAAACACAGTGAAAAAAATAAAATCACTTATATTGTTATCATTAATAGCAATTATCATTAACATTTTGGTGTACAGTTTCAATTTTTAAGTTTCTTTTGAAATGTTTTCTTTTGTTTATGCATTTTTTTCTCATCTTTTTAATTTTTTTTGTTGTTGTAATTTCAGTGAAAAGTTTACAATTCAAGTTATTCTTTCATACAAAAAGCTATACACACATTGTTATGTGACCCTAGTTGCACTCCCTATCCTGCGACAGCACACTCCTCCTTTCCACCGGGGATTCCCCGTGTCCATTCAACCAGCTCCTGACCCTCTCTGCCTTCTCATCTCACCTCCGGACAGAAGCTGCCCATTTAGTCTCATGTATCTACTTGAGCTAAGAAATATACTCTTCAAGAGTATCATTTTATGTCCCTGTTTATGCATTTTTTAATTATTCTCTCAGTATGCTTTAAATTCTCAAATACACTTACAGTTTTATCTCCAACAGAGGTAAGATTTGTTCCATTATCCTTAGCCTTTAAATATTAAAAAAACAAAAAAAGAAAGAAAATTAATTCAGAATTTTTACTTTACTCTCAGAAATATGTAATAAGGAAAATAATTACCTCCTGTTTTTCACCTAAAAGAGGCAGTCGATGTACAAAATCCCCAGAAAAGCTCTATAAAATAAACACAAAATGAAGGCTAATTAAAAAATCTATAATGTTCAGAAAGGACGAGTCAATGTTTAGGGGACACTGATACTCTGTTAAAGGTGATGAAAAAATCTGGGAACAGATGAAGATGATAGTTGAACAACATGATGAACATAAGTTAATGTCACTGAACTGTACTCGTGAAGAATGTTGAAATGGCAAATGTTCTGTTACATGTATATCGACCACAATAAAAAAAATTGTAATATTCAAAAAAGGTGTAGCTTAAAATACAGAAATGCTCAAACGAAACATAATACAATGACAGTAAATATACTAATACGGCAGTGACATAAAAAAGCATTCCCAATTAACTACAAACAAGTCAATAAACCCCAACTGAGCACTCAATTTTTATGTAAGCATTACAGGCATTTAGGAAAGACAAGGCCTTAGATGTAAGATATATGCTTAGGATAGAGGAATCTTAGATAACTCCCTCTCATTTTACAGATGAGGAGAATCAGGCTTAAGGCTATAGAGCTTGGAAGCAGAAACAGGAGTTAAGCCTAAGATTCCTAATGGCATGTAACTGGTCCACTGCTCCTTCCACATCACACTCCATGCCTGTAAGCAAACTACACTAATTACCTTTCTTATCGGTTATCAGCAGAGTAAGCATTCTCCTTCCTGAGTAATTAGAGTGTGCAATTCAACTGGCACAGCAGATTGGAGGAGGAGAGGAAACTTTCCCAACAGGGGTGTGTGCCAGCACCCCAGAACGATTACAACAGATCTAACAGTGAACCCTGGATAACAGAAAGCTTTCCACGACGAAATCTAAGAAAGGCCAACCAACGTTAGCCTGGGGGAGCAATCTGGAGAACCAACGGAAAACCTACCAACTGTCCAATCTCACATCATTCCTAGCTTTCCTTCTCTATTATTCTTAAACCATTTCAAAGTTATTTTCTTTCCCTCCATGTCCATAAAAATCTAAGCTCTGACAAGAACTCAGCCCGTACAGTTCAATTATCAACTACTTCATCCACCTACCAATTATCAATTTTTAATTAGAACCTCTTATATTTCTAGTAACTAAACAGAAAACCTAGCCTTCAGTGAACTCCTTGCCTCTTCCAAGCAATTTGCTGTATGTTCCTTTGCAATTTTTACATGCAGTAAGGACAAAGCAATGGTTATAGTTACAATAAATATTTTCAACCCTATAAAATGTTTCTATCAAAAAAATGGTATTATGGCTGTATACACTTTCACCAAAAAAAAGGAAATTTTTTAAAATTGGTATTAGATCCTTATTTCTAATTTCTTATCACAAATCCCACTTATATGACTACATATATCTGAGCATTAAAATACACAATATTATTCATTATACTCCCCTTCCCCCAAAACAAGGTCTAAAAGTCAACCTTGAAGCAGTGACACTCTTTTGACTTCAGGTCTGTAGCAGTTAAACCTAAAATCTCTGATTTTTTGTGGGATATACCAATTAGATGAGATGACAAAAGAATTAAAAATCTGGATTTGCTTTTTACACACAAAGGAAGCCACATCCTCTCTTCCATGAGGTGAATGAAAGCATAAGTGGCTGGTTATACACATATCAGAACACGCTACTAACTCCTGGCCATGGGAGGTGGTGGGGTGGGTGGGTAGACAGAGCCAAAAATACAGGCATTACGTTTTTCATCTCTCTACTTCCCTCCAGCCTCTTCCAAACACTACCTGTGTTTTAAAGAGTTCACTGCAGTTCTGGAACACCTTTGATGACGTCTGATATTTCCCAGACAAGCCTCTTTTCTCCTTAAGATTTTCCAAATATGTCTCTACTTCTTCTGCCTGAAAAAATACAGAAAATACAAAGTATTTACCATTCACAAGCCAAAAAAAAACAAAACAAAAAACAAAAAACGCAAACAAGATAGGTAGACAATAACAAACAGATCATCTTTAGTACAAAATATAGGAGGTCCCTGGCTGGTGCAAATCGTTAAGCGCTGGACTACTAGCCCAAAGGTTGGCGGTTCAAAACCACCCAGAGGTGCCTTGGAAGACAAACCTGGAGATGTGGTTCCAAAAGGTCACAACCTTGAAAACCCCATGGAGTAATTCTACTCTGCACACATGGGGTCGCCGTAAGTCGGAATCGACTCGATAGCAACTAACGACAACAGTATGAATATAATTTCGACTTTGTGATTTTAAAAATTGAAAGCACGAGATAAAGAATTTATCTAATAGTCTCCAAGATTCTAATACAAATTAGACTCTAAAGTACAGAATTCTAGCCTTAGGCTCACAAAGGGTAGTTCCACTATCAATTCTGGGCAGGCAGGAAATTGTCAAAGTGCAGAGGGTTTGTCACTTGAAAATATATTTACAAGAGTCACCCGACCAAATTCACGATATCAACAAAAAGCTATATTCATGCTCATGATGTAAAACACTGCACAACTGCTGACGCTCTCAAAATCTCGCCCATTTCTGTGGTTTCAGTTCTGTAATTTCTCTCCCGTATCTACGTCACTAATCTTGCCCTCTTTCTAAGCTCCAATCTCACACCTGTCTCCTTGCTGTTTGCATACTTCTGCCCTGTGGCAATCTGAAATAATTTTTACATTCTTAGCTTGCACTACCAGACAGGATCTGCCAAGCTCTTGACCATTTTATCACAAATTTCGAATATACGAAGTCTTTATGGTAAATTCAATTAACAATCAACTAATAGAAAAAGATCAACGATATTTCAAACCATATTCTGGAGATGTTATCATTTCCCTTCCTATCAATCCTATCTAATGCTATGGTACAAAAGTAAAAAGCAATCCCTGATACCACAAAAGAATAATATAAAACCTTAATACTAGGCAGAGATTCAAAATGCTTAGGTTTTGAAAAACTGAAATGGCTAAGAGAAAGCATTTTTTAAAGACCAGTCACATTATCTTTGGAAAGAAACCTCAAGGGTAGAAGAGGAATCTTTAAAAAAGAAAAGAAATGATGCATAAAGAGGGGGCTGGAAACAGAATGGGAAAGGCCTGAAAAGTCCATCTTGGAGCGATATATTTTCAATGCTGAAGTGTAACATAGTACTGCAATTCTCAAAGCTTGTTACGTGGACGCTTGGGGGTCCCTGAGACCCTTTCTCGAAGTCTAAGAGGTCAAAATTATCTCATAGTAAGATGTTATTTGCCTTGCACTGATGGTGGGTAAAACTGCTGCCCCTTATCAGGAACCAAGACTGTGGCACTCACCTGTAGTCACTGTATTCTTCATAATCACAAACTTGCAGTTAAAAAAAAATGCCAGTTTTACCTAAGAACATCCTTGATGAAAACCCCATTAAAAAAACCCACTGCTGTCAAGTCGATTCCGACTCATAGCAACCCTACAGGACAGAACAGAACTGCCTCATAGGGTTTCCAAGAAGCAGCTAGTGAGTTTAAACTGCTGACCTTCTGGTTAGCAGCTGAGCTCTTAACCATTGTGCCACCAGGACTCCTCCTTGATGAGGCAGTAAAAATTATTTATTATGATTAAATCTCGACATGCCTTTTTTAATATTCGGCATTTTCTCAGTTTTATTTTCTAATTCAGTAACCTACATAAACAAAACTTCTTTGGAGACCCAATAATTTTTAAGAATTTTTAAGGGTTTTGATACCAAAAAGTTTGAGAACTGCAGATATAGGAGGTCTGGGAACTGGGAGGCATGGATTTTAATTCCAGCCCTGCTCCTCCCGAGCTATATGACACTTTTTTCCTCTATAAAATTAAGACGTTCGGACCAGATGATTTCTAAGGTCTAAGAAAAGTCTGTAATTCTATGATCATTACCTTAAAGTTGAAGATTTCATTGTAACAGTCAGCACTTTTCAGATACCAGGTTACATTCAAAGATCGGTCACAAGGTTCTCCATCAACTATAAAAGAAGAAATGTTTGTAAATAAAAGATGATTCACAAACAAAGCACTTTTCCTAAGCTATTACCCCATATCCCATTTATTTCCTGCCCCAAACCAAGACACTCAAAGACCATTCCTTCCCCAAACATAGGTAATGAAATAATATACTTTAAAAGAACTGAATATTCTTTAGATAATAGTAAATTTTGTTGTTCACAGAAAGAAATATCAGTTGAGCAGTTTTTAAGCTTAAGTGATCTATTTTTATGCCTGAAAACCTCACTTTGTGGTTCTCTGTTGAAAAAAACCTGGAAGGCATAAAGCAGCCCTAAGTTAAAGCACATCTTCTATTATGATTTTGAGATATTTATTGAACAGAGCACTTATGTGTACAAAACTGCACAGCACTGTGTTACGCCAAAGAGGGGAACGGGGTGAACAAACCATAAGGCACCCTTACAAAGCTACAATCTAGCTGGAAAGGCAAGCTGTAACAACATTAGGAATGTCACAAGGCAGTGCTCACATGGCTGATAAACAGTGGTGTAAATAATGTTTCTATCGAGGAAAAAAGTCATGGCATGGACCTTGAAAGATACAAAGACTGGATAGGAAGAACAAGGAACAGAAAGCAAACCTGGCTGGGGAGGGTAGGAATAGGAAGAGCGAAGATAAAGACTATTAGATTTTTCAAAGCCTACCTTAAGAGAAGCCTCAAGGAACCTCCATGAAATCATGGAAGCCTCATATAACATTAAACATAGTTTAGAACACAATATTCTAGGGTTGGCAGTCAATGTCACAAAACAATGTGTGTATTAATTGTTTAATGAGAAACTAGTTTGCTCCGAAAACCTTCATCTGAAGTACAATAAACAAAAAGAAAGAAAGAACACAATATTCTAGTGCACAAAGGCATTAGCCTGAAGACCTGGAAGTGTAATTCTGACTCTGGCTGTTTAGCTATATCATCAGGAGAAGTCAGGAACCTCCTTTCAGATCTTAACAAGAGGTATACCTAATGAGAAGCTTCTCCCTTCAGGGTGACTGAGTCAGAATCGACTTGAAGGCAATGGGTTATAGGTTTTCTTCATTTTAAGTTGTTTTATAAAACTAGTAAATAAGTAACACATTTTTACAAGACTCTCTTAAAACACATAAAAATCTCACATGTTGAACACAATCTATAGAAATGATAAACATATACTGCGATCTTGCTATGAACCATTCAGAAAAATACCTACAGAGACCGAATAATTTAAAGCCACTAAGAAAATATCCCCTGAACAATGGGCCTTGCAGGGAAGCCTGGCTGCAAGCGTATTACTAATTCCGTTAAAAGATAATATTTACAACTGTGAATGGAAGGTTTTAAGAGACAATGAAAATGGCCCTGCCTATTCAAAGGAAAGGTCCCTGGCAAACGGTGTGCGCAACTACTAACCTAACAGTTGGTAGGTTTGAACCCACCCAGTGATGTCGCTTAAGAAAGGCCTGGCAATCTGCTTCCGTAAAGATTACAGCCAAGATAACTCTATGGAGCAGTTCTACTCTGTAACATACGGAGTCGCCATGAGTCAGAATTGCCTTGACGGCAACTGGTTTATGGTTTACTCAATGGAAGGATATATACCACTCCCCCAAAAACTATAAAATCAGAGACAACCTGCAAATATCAGAAAGTACAGAAGTAACAGAGAGAAAGACCACGTAAACTTTAAGGAGCCTCAAATCCTCCAAAAACAATGAAATGTTGACACTTCAAAATACGCAGCTTGTATAACTTGGAGAAATACTCATCGGATCAACACACTGTACTTAATAAGAGGACAGAACAAAAAACAGGTTTACCCACCTACCAGGCTAGTCCAAAACACAAAATCCTGCTATCCCTGAAAGCTACCCATATCCAGTAAGCGAACATCATGAAAAACGCCAGTGTGTCAGAGTAGATGTGATTTAAAACAAATTTAAGTCATTCGTCAACAGACTACATTTTCATAGATGTACTATGGTCTTTATAGAAGTTCTACCTGCCCTCTTCACTCTCACTAGACTGTAAGCTTAATGAAAGGAGGGACCTTTTCAATCACTACCCTGCTGTCTAAACGAGGACTTGGCACAGAGTAGATATGTAACGACTACTTATAAGTGATTAAAAGAGTAAAATCATCCAGCTGTGACCCACAACGTTGTGCTTTTATGAAAAGAAGCACACATGGACAGTTTGGATTTTTATCCCTGATGGTTAAGTAGATCATCCATGACCATTCATTCTCTAAAACAGAGGCAGTTTCTCCATCAAAAAGAAGCTTTTCTTTAATACACAATGGGATAATTTAGACTCAAACTCTGGTTTTCCCACTGGACAGATGGGTTTTGTTCCACATAATCCCTATTTCCTGATAATATTTTTGAGCTTCCTCTTCAAAAGATCCAGGTGGTAAAGTACTCCTTTTGTAAATAAAAGACTGACTGAATAAACTCCTTCAGAGCCAATGGCCTGACAAACTTAGATCATGTGTTCAGCCAACATTTGACAAGGAGACAAAGTAAACTTGGTGGTATCTCTATGACAGAACAGCTTAAAAAACATGCAGGCAATCAACTCACATATTAAATATAATTCAACTGCGATGTGACAGAGTGACTAACTATATATAGTAAACACCAGACAAACAAGGGAAGAAAAGAAAGTTCACACAAGTACTCTGTAGACTATCTACTATCTACTACTATCTACTCTGTAGACTAGAGGAAGGACTTCAGTTATACCACAGGTGTTAAAATGTACCTAGATTGTGCTGGACTATTAAATTCCCGAACTTAAAAGTATGTCGACCGCAAAAAGAAATTCAACAAGATCCAATACCCTTTCCTGATAAAAACACTCAACAAACTAAGAATAGAAGGGAAATTCCTCAATATGATAAAAGGCATTTATGAAAATCCCACAGCTAACATTATATTAAGGAGTCCTGGTGGCGCGATAGTTAAGGGCGAGACTGGTAACCAAAAGGTTAGGGGTTCGAATGCATCCAGCAACTCCTGGCGATCTGCTCCCAAAAAGATTACAGCCTAGGAAAACCCTATGGGGTAGTTCTATTCTGGCACAGGAGGTCACTATGAGTCGGAATCAACTCGCCGGCACCTAACAACATTATCATCATACTGAGTGGAGAAAGATTGAGAGCTTTCCCCTTAAGATCAGAAACAAGACAAAGATGCCCGCTCCCACCAACTGCTATTCAATATTGTACTGAAGTCCTAGGCAGAGCAATTTAGGCAAGAAAAAGATATAAAAGGTATCCAGATCAGGAAGGAATAAACAAAACTATCCTTATCTGTAGATGACATAATCCTGTATAAAAAATCCCAAAGAATCCACAAAAAAGCTACTAGAGCTAATAAGTGAATTCAGCAAAGTTGCAGTGTACAAGATCAACATATAAATATCAGTTGGGTTTCTATACACCAGCAATGAGAAATCTGAAAGGAAATTAAGAAAACAATTCCATCATAATAGCATCTAAAAGAATAAAATACCTACGAATAAATTCAGCCAGGGAGGTGAAAATCTTGTACACTGAAAACTATAAAATGTTACTGAAAGAAATTAAAGAAGACCTAAATAAATGGAAAGACATTCTGAGTTCATAGATTATAAGACTTAATTGTTAAGATGTCAATACTACTCAAAGTGAACTATATATTCAATGCAATTCCCATCAAAATTCCAAAAGTCTTCTTTGCAGAAATCAAAAAGCCAATCTTCAAATTTACATTAATTGTAAGGGGCCCCAAACTGCCAAAGCAATCTTGTAAAAGAAGAACAAAGTAGGAGACCTCAGACTTCCAAATTTCAAAATATACTATATAATGCTAGAATAATCAAAACAGTCTGATACTGGTATAATAATGGACACAATGACCAACAGAATACAACTGACAGTCCAGAAGTAAATCCATACATCTATGGTCAACTGATTTTCGACAAGGATGCTAAGTGAATGGGGTAAGAAAAGTGTCTTCAAAAAATGGTGTCAGGAAAACTGGATCTCCACATGCAAAAGAATCAAGTTAGACTCATACCTCACACCATGTATGAAAATTAACTCAAAATAGATCAAACACCTAAATGTAAGAATTAGAACTATAAAACTTTTAGAAAAAAAAGACATAAGAACAATGGTTCAAGACCCAGTGTTGGACAATGGATTCATGGATATGACACCAAAATCGTAAGCAACAAAAGACAAAACAGACAAATGGGATTTCATCAAAATTAAAAACTTCTGTGCATCAAAGAACTTTAACAGCAAAGTGAAAAGACAACCCACAGATTGGGAGAAATATTTGGGAACCATATATCTGATAAGGTTTTAATAAACAGAATATATTTAAAAAAAACAAACTACAACTCAACAACAAAAAGACAACCCAATCAAAAATGGGCAAAGGACTCGAATAGACACTTAACCAAAGAAGATATAAAAAGGCCAATAAAAAAACCAAAACTCAACCCACTGCCAGAGTCAATTCCAACTCATAACGACCGTGTAAGAAAGAGTAGAACTGCCCTATACAGTTTACAAGGCTGTAAATCTTTATGGAAGCAGACTGCCACATCTTTCTCCCACAGAGCAGCTGGTAAGTCTGAACTGCCAACCTTTTGGTTAGCAACACAGCACTTAACCACTGCACCACCAGGGCTCCTTCATTAGTCATTAGGGAAATGGAAATCAAAATCACAATGAGATACCACTTCACCCCCACTAGGATGGCTATTATCAGGAAAAAGGAAAATAACAAGTGTTGGAGAGGATGTGAGGAAATTGGAACCCTCACCCACTGCTGGTGGGATTGTCAAATAGTGCAGCCACTGTGGAAAAGTTTGGTGGTACCTCAAAAAGTTAAACATAAAACTACTTTATGACTCACCAATTCAACTCCTAGGTATACATCCAAAAGAACTGAAAGCAGGAACATAAACAGACACTTGTACACCAATGTTTACTGCACTATTCACAACAGCTAAAAGGTAGAATCAACCCAAGTGTCCACCAACACTAAGATGTAGTATATAAACACAACAGAATACTATTGAACCAAAAAGAGAAATGAAGTTCTGATACACGCTGCAACATGAACTTTGAGAACACTATGCTGAATGAAATGAGTCAGGCACAAAAGGACAAATATTGCATGATCCCATTTAGATGAAATATCCAGAACAGGCAAATGCATAGAGACCAAAGTTCATTAGTGGTTACATGGTACAGGCAGAAGGGGAAGTAGGGAGAAGATTATTGTTTAAGTGGTACAGAGTTTTTGTTAAGGGTGATGAAAAAATTTGGAAATGAATATTGATGTTCATTGAACGACATGGTGAACGTAGTTAATGTCACTGCATTGTACACGTAAAAATGGTTGAAAAGTCTTGTTATAGATATTTCACAATTAAAATTTTAAAAATTAAAAAAAAATGTTGACAGTAGTCCGTTAGAAGCAGAAATAAGTAATTTAAAAGTTTAAAGATCACTCAAGAACTTGAATAAAAACTTGATGAAATTCAAAAGCTCACATTTCAGGAAGATAGTGGTATTTCCGAAGAGGATCTTTCCAAAACTAAAATAATTTTTCCCCTGCAAAGATAAAGCAGAGAAAGATAATTAGCACCAAACCATTTAATTCCCAAGGCAGAACACAGCTGGTATGAAAACTTAAATTTATAAAACATTCAAAGTCGTTTTCTTAACAAAAAAAAAAATCAACATTTCTCTTTTCGGTAAAATTCAGCCACATCCAATAACCATATCCAATCTGCAGGACTTTGCCCCTTGGTGCAGAGACATGATTTTTTTCCCACAGGTTAGGACTTACAAGAGAGGCTGCTAGAAATCCCAGCTTAATTTAAATCTTTATGGGGGGTATCCCTTAATCAGCTCATTCCCTTTACTCACTAATCACTGCCTAGAATAACCAATCATTTTTTCAAATGAAGTATTCTATGAGCAGATAGCCAGTTACATTTTTAAATCTAAAAGAACTATCAACCATTTTAACAACAAAAGGTAAAAACTTAAAATCGAGAACCTGACGAACGTCACCAAATGAGCAAAACCTATAAAGCTTGGCAAATAAAAGTACAAGTAAGATTTCGGTATTTCAGTCAGTGAGCAGAGCAGAATGAAACAAAAAGACCAACATGTTTTTGTAGGACTAATGCTTTTCAGCATTTCCTGCCTGCATCTGGTTCTTGTCTATACCTCTGTACCAGTAATGGGGCTACACCTCTTATTCAAATGAAAGTTTAAAAAGGGGGAGGGGCCAGAGAGGATTAATCTAGCCAGTAAATTGTCTAAAATAAAGACTAGCCTTACCACATTAAATTTTAGAATGTTATTTCTTCCATTTTACCCATTCCTTCTTAAAATAGATGTAAAGGATGTCTCGGCATCCGAATTCCACAGGGAAGCTTAGAATAACCATTTCAAAATGTAAATGAGCTCACATAACTTCCTACACAGAATTACCAGAAACAAAAAAGTGCAGAAGAAAAACAACCAAACAGAAAAGAACATGCCTATCTACATATCCCTCACCTTCAAGCCGGAGTCACTACATTCTGTGAAACTTCAGCTATCAGAGAAAACACTCTCCGATCACACATCAAGTTTACACGTCCCGCGTCAGGCAGTAAGAGTTCTCTCACTTTCCTGATAAGAAACCGCTCCATCACTCCTTCCCGCTCCTGAAGTGGCCCTGACACTCTGGCTATTCTACCCAAAGAAGCGCGCTGCTTTCCGCTCCAGGGAGGTGGGTCCCTGTTGGCCAGCGACACACACGCTCCCGGCACTCCCATCGCTTTGGAAAGCGGACTTTTGCAGAATGGTCATGGACCCGTTAGGCCACCGTAGCCCCACCCCTTGTTCCTCTGCGTTCACTCACTATTGAAGTGAACACTCACCGACGGTAACGGAATGTGCCATTTGGATCGGTCGGCAGCAGCTACGGGTGCCGGTCCTACACTGAAAAACGACAATGGAGAGGGCTGAGCCCCCAGAAGAAGAATGACAGGCAACACCTGAAGCCACGCAGCCGCCGCCATCTTCACAACCATGGAGTGTCTAACGAAAGCATTTCACCTTCTTCCGGTCTGTCCTCCCTCTTCCGGCTGTGCTCTGGGGGCGGGATCATCCGGGCCCTCAAAACCTCGCGGGGTTTGTTTGTTTTGCAACCCACTGGCCCCTCCCCCGAGCGGTCGTCACTGCTGCGTGTGAGCACATGTCCTTCTGCTGTAAACAGATCACCTTGGAGCGTTAGGATGATATCCGAAAGCCACGCTCGCCTTAATCTGCTCTCCTCTCCCTTAGCCCTCCAAGGGCTTGGGGACCAGCAGGCACACTGTGCAGCAGTTCGTTCAGTCTTCCCGCTCGCCCCGGCCCCTCGTCCCTTCTAAGTCAAGAGTCAGACGCACGGGCTGAGGGTCTGGGAAAGCCCTAAGTCTGGCTGCCTTATTGGCGTCTGGAAGTGAGTTTTGCAAGTATTTAAGCAAAGGCTGAAATTTGGCAGAGGTGGAGTATAAGCGATTCCTGCACTGATTGGTGTAATGGATGATCTTTAAAGGCCCCTTCTAGCCCTGAAAAGTATGATGCTATGGGAGAGTTTAGCCGGCGAGCATCAGCCTCCAGCAATGACCCTGCCGGCACTCCCCCACTCGAAACTAAAACCAGGGAGGGAGTTTTTTTCCTCCATCTGTGACATTACCACCACAGAGGTAAACCTGCGGAAGCTTCACCCAATCACGGGAGGCCGTTTTATTTCGTACTTTCCGCGACCCCTTGTTCTCACGCTCGGTTTATATCCACTGGGGCTCATTGCGCACACGCCCCCTCCGCTGCAAAGACAGTTTCGGTTCTGACACTACGTGATGAAAGCACGTTTCCTCATCAGCGGCACATAACCACTGAAAAATTGCCAGATAAATCCCTGTAGAAACGTTAATTTGAGCCTAGAATCCTCAAGAGTAAGAGGCAAGATTCGTCTCCTTAAGCACCTGGAGGGACATTGTATTTACAGAAACTTGCCGCTGGTGAACTATATAGGTTGTAATTTAGAAGACGGCCGATTGGCGCTTTAAGGAGATCGTTTTGGCCTGAGAACTGGCAGCGAGTTCTCGGAGCTACTGGGGAGCCATGGAAGCAGCCAAGAAAGAGAAAATCAGGTAAAGGCCCAATGCTCCTACAGGGAGTGTTTTCAGAGCCCATGGAGGCAGGGGATATAGCACTTGAAAGGAACATCCTAGCTTTGAAAGTTTTACTGATTCCACTTCTTTGCGTGTTTTGTATTTGCACAGTTAATCTTTGTCGTTTTTTTTTTTTTTCTTCAGTTCCCCAGTGAGTTAGTTGATTATTAATAGGTAACCCCTCATAAAATACTTTCAAGATGGTTAAATAACGTAGCGGTAGGAGAAATGTGATCAGAGCTGTAACGTGAATTCCACGCGTTGGTTTCCGGATTCAGCAATACCTAACCTTTTCCTGCATCCTTCTGGAGCGCATTGTTCAAACCTAGAAACACGAAACTGCAAGCTTAACTTTTGCACAGTTGATTAAAAGGAACAGTGACATAGCTTGAGTCCAGTGAAGGTCTTGATTATTTCCGTGATAAACAATGTTTTAATGTGGCCAAGGGTGTCAGCTTGTTTTCATAATATTTTGAAATTTGGGTTTCAGTCGTAGCTTTTCTACATAGTCATGGACATGCTGGATTCAGGTGTATTCAGCCACATCTCTGTATGAAAGCCATTTTTTTTTTCTCTTTAAGTCGGGTAGAGTTGTTAAATCAGATGAAGGCTGATTTAAATACATAAACTCAAGTAGCAATATACATACATCTTACTCAGGTTTTATTCCAGAAGCCACTCTTCTAGAAACTTGGTTTTAAAAAACCTTGGTGCTTATATTGACAGCATCATCTTAAAAGCAAAAGATTTTCCTTTTACATCTGTTCCTATTATTCTAGCACCTGCAACATACCTGTCTAACAGCATTTGACAGGTTTTCTCTCACAAAGAGCTTGGGCACAACCCTTTATATCTCCCTCAGAGCCTGGAACTCAGTAAGAATATTCTCCAAAAAAATAAATTTTCTTTTAATAAATAATTGGGAGGTTTTGTTGGTGGTGGTGTTGGTTTTTTTTTTTTTTTTTTTTTTGCTAGATTTTCATTTTACTTTTTTTTACTTTCTAAAAGCCTTTAGTCTTTATTTTTAAAAGAACCCTTCATTATAAGTTGAAATTTTTTGAACCAAATTCACAGGATGTAGTCAGTGCTGTTTTTCCATTGCTTTCAGGGTAATCTGGGGACTTGGTGTTTTGTTGTTTACCTGGGATGATTATGAAAGGATACTGTTCTGTAGCACACATGCTATCCTGTTATGTTATGGCCGCTACACAATTCTGCACTGCAGAATAGACTCCAAAGGTTTATTTTCCATGTTCATACTATAGTTAAAGAAAGTGCAAAAATGGTAAAATAAGTTTCTGAAAATATCTTTTTACTTAGCGTTGACGATGAAGCTGTGGACAAAAACATTTTCAAAGACTGCAGCAATATTGCTTTCTACAGGTAAGGAAAGAAAATGTATTACGTAGATCAAAACATTTCTGGCAGTATTTCAAAATTGATACCTATTAAATTTTTGAGAACTAAAAAAACCTGTTGTCTTCGAGTGGATTCCGACTCATAGCGACCCTATAGGACAGAGTAGAACTGCCCCATGGTTTCCAAGGAGCGCCTGGTGGATTCAAAATGCCAGCCTTTTGGTTAGCAGCCGTAGCTCTTAACCACTCCACCACCAGGGTTTCCCTTTTGAGAACTAATAGAGGGTAAATTAAGAAATTTAATGATTGAAGGCATTCATCAGAAATGGGATTTTCACTTCTAACTTTATATATTTCTGTACTATTTGAATTTTTCAATGAACAGGTATTTTATTTTAAAAGCCAAAATAGTTTTAAATTTTATGCTTTTGAATAGATAATACTTTTACATGGTTCAAAAATGAAATGATATAAAAAAGATAGTACATTGAAAAGAGTTATTCCCACCCCTGTCCCATTCCACCCCATTCCCTATCTTGTCCCTGTAAGTAACCAGATTTATTAGCTTCTTATTTATCCTTACGGTTTTCTTTTTGTAAATATATATTTTTATATCACCCACTTTTTTATATCAAGTAGTTTTCTATATATACCGTTGTGTACCTCATTTTTTTCTTCTACATAATTTATCTTGAAGATCTGTGTATATGAGTGCCTGGAGATCATCTGCCTCCCTTTTCACAACTGTGTACTATTCCACTGGGTAGGTGTACTGTAATTTACTCAGTCGGTCCCCTTTTGCTAGACTCTTGGGTTGTTTCCTATCTTTTGTGCTGCCATAATGAAGATCTATAAATACGTCATTTCATACACGTGCAGGTGTATCTACAGGATAGATTTCCAGGAGTGAGAGTACTGGGTCAAAGAGTAAATGCACTTGAAAGTTTTTAAATGTTACCAGATTTTCCTCCATGGGAATTGTACTATTTTGTATTTCTATCACCACTATATGACTGCCTGTTTCCTGAGAGCCTCAGAATAAATATTTCTTTAAAATCTCTATTAAAAAAAAAAATTACTTAAACGATCTGGAAAACTAAAATCATCAAAAATTGGGTTATATATTATAACTTTCTAATTTATTGATTCTGCTGTGGAGGAAGAAAATCATATTGTAATTCTAAACAGGTGTCTTAGAGGGAATTCTGTAGTGAATGCCTGGTCACCTTGTTAAGCCACTAGATTATATTAGAATTCTCCTAGAATATATTGAGTTTCTATTTGTGTTCATTTCCTGGAAAGAGGGAGGGATATTAACAAGCACATAAATGTCAACTATGAAAATTACCCCATCTACTCAATAAAGTGGACAAGATGTCATCCTTGAGCAGTGTCATGCTGAATAATTTCATTAGTACTTCTTTATTAGTACTAACTTTATTTTTAGAAAACCCACTGCTGTTGAGTCAATTCCGACTCATAGCGACCCTACAGGACAGAGAAGAACTGCCCCATAGGGTTTCCAAGGTTGTAAATCTTTACAGAAGCAGACTGCCACATCTGTCTCCCGCAGAGCTGCTGGTGGGTTCCAACCACTGACCTTTTCGTTCGCAACTGAGCGCTTTAACCACTGAGCCACAAGGGCCTCTACTGTAAAAATACTCCTATTAATACTTTATTAGAGTATTAGTAATGTCTGGAGGGGCAGTGGTGGTTCAGTGGTAGAATTCTCGCCTTCCATGCAGGAGACCAGGGTTCAGTTCCCGACCAGTGTACCTCCAGCCCAGCCACCTCTTGTCTGTCAGTGGAGGTTTGCATGTTGTTTTGATACTGAACAAGTTTCAATGGAGCTTCCAGACTGACAGACTAGGAAGAAAGGCCTGGCAGTATACTTCCAAAAAATCAGCCAGTGAAAATCCTATGGATCACAACAGTCCAGTCCCATTGTGCATGGGGTCACCACGAGTCAGGAGTGACTTGGCAGCAGCTAACAACAACGACAGTAATGTCTGTGCCCAATTCACTTATTATCATATTCAATTTTAATGTGACTTCCACATGATAATGTAGTCTGTTGGATAATGACGGTCACAAATAATTCTCAAGCGTCTATACACTCCATGTCTATAGGCGTCAGAAAAAACAGCTCTCCAAGAAGTCCACCTGTCGGGCAGTACTGGACTCATTCACAACCGGCAAAGATAGCACCAGCTTCCAAATCATCAACGAAGCAACTAAGGTGAGATGGGAGTCTTATCTACTGATAATTATTTGTTTCTGTATTCATTTGGGTTGAGTGAAATATTCCACAAAGGTTAACAGAAACTATGTATATTTCAAACATAAACTTTGTTAGAGAAGAAATGTCATCTTTTTTATGTCTACACTGATATTACTTTAAAAATAATGTGAATATCAGCATATAGATTGCCTGTATGTCAGATACTTTCCTAGATGCTTTGCAAATGTTATTTCCTTTTAATTAGTCTTCATAATGTACCTAAGGTATACATTGTATTAGCCCCAGTTTTCAGATGAGGAAAATGAGGTCTATAAAGTCACTTGCCCAAAGTCACACAGCTAGTAACCAGAATTTCTCCTCTGTCTGTCGGACTCCATCAAACACCCATGCTCTTTCTTGCACTATTAATGTACAGTTGAACATGCAGCCTGAGCAAAGTAGAGATTCAGTTAATGTCCAAACCTCAAAATGTGACTGGGCCAAGGAAGCAGGGGACAAGCAAAGGTACTATGCAGTTGAAAACCTAAGTCACAAATGTTATGTCTCCTGAGCTGCTTTCCCAGCAGGTCTCCATACTTATTACATATTGAAAGGATTAAGTACTTTTTCTCACCCGTCAAGTCATCACACTGCTTCATATGTGCCATACAGATGGGTCAATCATAGAGGAAGTGCTATGGGCTGGACTAGGCAGTGTGTCTGTGCGTAAGTACCTTATGCTTTCAACTTGACTCCTACCTCTGAATCCTCCTTTCATCTTCTAAAGGCATCCTAAGCTTCTAAGGCCTCTCAGACCAATCTGACTTAACTGTTAATTCAGGTTCCTGGAAGATTAGTTAAAGCCATGCTGTCTGGGTCTTCTGACAGCTTGGATAGCAGCCCCACCAGCTCTCTAACAAATCTCAGTGCTGGGAAGCCGACTGAGAAGAAATCCCCACTTTCACTGCAGAGCTGTGACGGATCTCCTTGTGACTGCCACTGCCTTAACTCCTGCCCTGTATCTCTGTACTGAGGAAACTCGTCAGAGAGGACAGGACAAAAACTACCCCCACCCCCACAACACACACACACACACAAACCAAATGCCCCACAACTCATGGGGTTCTTTCATTTACCAAGAGGTCCCACCTTTATTCCCAAGCACAGGGAGCAGCTGCAAAATGAGGAAGCACTCTTCTTCATGAAGTTTTAGAAACTTTAGCTATTTCATAAACTTTGAATCCTCTACCATAGCTTTCTTGCCCAAGTTCAAATTAGGGGCTAAAATCATACCAACAGTTCCGTGTTCTCTATCCCCATTCCCTGTCCCCAACTTCTAATAACTTAAGTGTGTCATTATGGGAAGAGTACAGTTAGTTTATCTCTCGTAGCTACACAGATGGAATGTTTAGCCTTTCTCGAAAATCGATGCCACAGCTTCTCATACCACCCATATGTTTTTTTTTATTGTTGTAGTTTAAATGAAGTTTACATTTCAAGTTAGTCCGCCATGCAAAAATTCATACATACATTGTTATGTGACTCTAATTGCTCTCCGCATACTGTGACAGCACACTCCTCCTTTCCACCCCTGATTCCCCATGTCCATTCAGCCAGCTCCTAACCCTCTCTGCCTTCCCATCTCACCTCCGGACAGAAGCTGCCTGTTTAGTCTCTCGTATCTACTTGAGCTAAGAGGCAAACTCCTCACAAGTATCACTTTATGTCCCACAGTCCAGTCCCTGTCTGAAAAGTTGGCCTCGGAAATTGTTTTAGTTCTGGGCTGATAGAGAATCTGGGGGCCGTGCCATCCAAGGTTCCTCCAGTCTCAATCAGATCATTCATTAAGTCTGGTCTTCTTACTAGAATTTGAGTTCTGCACCCTACCTTTCTCCTGCTCCATCAGGGACTCTCTGTTGTGTTCCCTGTCAGGGCAGTCATTGGTGGTAGCCGGGCACCATC